GTTTATAAACTATGACATTTATAAATATATGAATTATATGATGAAAAACTGACTTTGAGAAATAAATACATTCTTTTTTATTATAAAAAGGCTAAATAAAACTAAAATACTGGTGGTAATTTTTGACTGTGTAACTTTACAAATGGCACCTCATATTAAAGCACCGTTCACTCCAGTCACTGGTGTTGTATGGTCCATCTCTTCACATTTTAATCTATTCAACATTCAGGTGGTTTCGTCATGATTTCAGATAACAAACACTAAATTTTCTTACAAACCGTTGGCTGATGTGAATTTACAGGAGGTGTAAAAATGATGKTACCTGGATCCTCTCTGGAACACCTGTGCTGTCCATTCGACTTGCTACATTTACTGTGTTCCCCCAGATGTCGTACTGAGGCTTCCTGGCCCCGATCACCCCAGCAACTACAGGACCAATGTTAAGACCTACGAGGAGGAAGATGGACCGTATCAAGATATTATTCCAAGTTGTGAGCTATAATTTTATAAAATGTTCCCTGTCTGACACAAACACTGACTCTTCAGTCAACTTGCTAAATGATCATTTGAAACCTTTCTTCTGGGGTTTACCATTAGCCTTCATTTGTCAGACTGGTTATGTGAGCTGAGCAGCAGCACCTTCTTCCACCCACCTATTTTCATTTTGAAGTTATTAAAGGAGTGTTCATTGATGTATTTCATCTGGTCCATCATCCTCATGGCGTAATCAGCCAGCGCACGGATGTGTGAACGTCCAACTTTGTCGTACGTGGAGTCGTTGAGGCCGGAGGCCGCCATGTAGGTGGAGCCGATGGTCTTAATCTTCTCCAGCTGACGGAACTGATCTTCACTAATGATCTAATGATGGTAGGAGAGGAGAGGTTTATTTAGTCAGCTGTTAGAGGGTTTGGGGTGCAAGGTCAGTCTAACAAACCTGTTTATGCTTTAGTTGTTTTATGTTAAACTAGAGAAATTGAATTTCCTACGAAAATGCTAGTGTGAATGCCTGTTGCTGAAAACATAAGCTGAAAGCTGCTGAATATGAGCTGAACATGTTCAATAGCAAAACTAATATTGTAGGTAAAACTTGAAAAGCTGAAAAAAGCAAATAAAAAAGCCTAAAAACAGTAAAAAGGAGCAAAAATATAGCTGAATTAGCATAAAAAGCTAAAGGCTAAAATAGCTGAACATAGCAGAAAGCAACCGTAAGAAACATAAATAACTCAAATTAGCAGAAAGAAGCACAAAAAGTAAAAAAGGCAGAAGAATTTTAGTTGAAATTTCTGAAAAACGCTAAAACTAGCAAAAAGGTAGCTAAAAAATTCACAAAGACTTTAAAAGGAGCAAAACCAGAATATAATGTGTAAGGTTCTGTAAAGATTTAGAAAYATTATGAAGAAATTTAAGGATGTTGAATAAAGCTCCATTCATTTCCAATGGGAAAAAAGTAGCCAAAATAGATGCGGCTACAATTGTTGAATTTTCTTGAGGCTTCAATATGTTATAGAACTTGCTCTCAGCCACCAGAACATAAGTTTTCATGTCAAAATCTCAAACATTGGCTGAGTAAAAGGCCTTTAAAACTAGCTTTGGCGACCATCTTGGATTTTTTTCCAGCTGTTATTTATGATAGAGCAAAGTCTCAGGTAACTCTATAATGATTTATGGCTTATTATATCAAAAATTGGCCAAATTCAAGTAATTTGAACTAACTTTAGCTAAGAAGAGCTAAACTTTAGCTAAAATTGAGCAAATAGATAAATATAGCAGAAAGCAACTGTAAGAAGTATGAATAGTACAAATTAGCTATAACAAAGCAGAAAAAAGCAGAAGAATAGCAGAAAGAAGTAGAATTTTAGCTAATATAGCAGCAAAACAGCTAACATTAGCATAAAAATAAACTAAAAGTAACAAATTCAAGTTAAAAGTAGCACCCAGATGGTGAAATGGTTGTAAAAAATTCAAGTAAAATAGCTAAAACAGCCAAAGTTTTCAGTAAAACAGCTAAAAAGTAGCTGGAAACATTTTAATTAGCATAAGGAGCACACGTTTGCTGAATTTAGCAGAATTAAGTTGAAATAGCTCCAAAAAATGTGTAATTAGCTTAGAAAGCTAACTTTGGCTAATAACAGCTACATTTTAGCTAAATTTGTTGCAAATAGCTGAACATAGAAGAAAGCAACTGTAAGAAACATAAATAGCACAAATTAGCAGAAAAAAGTATAACAAAGAAAAAAGCAGAATAGCAGAAAGAAGTAGAATTTTAGCTGAAATAGTAGAAAAGAGCTAAAGTTTGCAAAAAAGTAGCTAAAATTTGCACAAGAGAGTAAAATAGAGCATAACCAGAACAAATTGTGTAAGGTTTTGTAAAGATTTAGAAACTATTTGAAGGATTTTAAGGATGTTGAAAATAGCTCCATTCAAAGTCAATGGGAAAAAAGTGGCTAAAAAGTTGAAATACCTAAAAAAGTATAAATAGCCAAAATACCAAAAGTCATAGCCGGCATTGCACGAAAAAGCTGAACGTTTTGATATATGAATGGTTGAAGTAGCATGGTTGTAGTTGGTGGAAACCAGACTGAACCGCTCAACGCTACATTTTGTTATGTCCCCGGATGGAAAAACATTAAGTTCATAAAGTCAGGGAGAAATCTACTCACGTCACATGTAAAGGTCACAACTTTATATGGGAGGCCAGGTAAGACATAATCTGATCTGTGTATGAAAACCTTTCATACACACATGAAAACCAAAAGGTTTTCATGTGTGTATGAGAGATTTTCATATATGTGTATGAGAGGTTTTCATATGTGTGTATGAAAGGTTTTCATATGTGTTTATGAGAGGTTTTCATATGTGTGTATGAGAGGTTTTCATATGTGTGTATGAAAGGTTTTCATATGTATGTGTTTATGAAAGGTTTTCACATATGTGCACGAGAGGTTTTCACATGTGTGTATGAGAGTTTTTCATATATGTGTATGAGAGGTTTTCATATGTGTTTTTGAAAGGTTTTCATATACTGTATGTGTATGAGAGGTTTTCATATGTGCTTATGAAAGGTTTTCATATGTGTACGAGAGGTTTTCACATGTGTGTATGAGAGGCTTCATATGTGTTTATGAAAGGTTTTCATATGTGTGTATGAAAGGCTTTCACATGTGTGTATGAGAGGTTTTCATGTGTGTTTATGCAAGGTTTTAGGTTTTCACTAGTATGTATGAAAGGTTTTCACAAATGTGTGTCAGAGCACAACATTTCACTAGTATGTATGAATGGTTTTCATACTGTATGAGTGTATGCAAGCTTTCTCAGATTATGTCTTACCTGGCCTCCCATAACTTCCCATTCTGACACACATGCATGTGAACACTTAATGCTCACCTCATCGAAATCAGCAATGATTTCATTAAGAAGTCGCAGACACTCCACTCCTTCATTGTTGGCCTCCAGCTCCACGTAGAACTCGGAGAAGTTGCTGATGGACGCGAACATGACTGCGACACACTCACAGGACTGGTAGTAYAGCTCGTCGTTGCGCCGCTCCTGCTGCAGGAAGTGAGCGGCCACGTCTTTGGGCAGGATGTTGTGGAGCAGACGCCGATTGTAGGCCTGAAGTTCCTCCATCTCCTCCTTCTCCTCCGTGGCCTGAAGAGTTCAGGGAGAAGACTCAGATATGTGTGGGATAAAAAGTCTCTGCAGCTTCACAGCAAGGTTAATAGACATGAGTTTTTGCACAACTATCAAAGTTCAGAGTGATTCAGGTGTTTATTAATCCAGTGTGTTTTACTGTCAAGCAGGTCAGTTAGTAGGTAATGCATCAAATGACCATCATTAAAACAGTTCTGACCCGTCTGGATCACAGACTAAGRACACCTGGAGTTTCTCTACCTGACCTGAAACTTTGAGTTACAACATCTAATTTTCCTCAAGGATCAATAAAGTTTTTTTTAATTGAATTGAATGTTCTTTTTAAGATAAATGAACAAGTCAGCTAACATAGATGTCTGTTAGCCCATAGCTGTTTGTTGGTACAGTTTTCTAATTTACTGCCTATTGAAATACAATTAAATAGTTTTGTCCAATTAAAACTTTTAAAGGGATCCCCGATTACTTGTAACATTAAACTTTATATGATAAACACATGTTTTAACTGTAAAATAAAGACTGTAAAAATATTGTAGACTGTTTAGTTTTGTAAATGTTAAAAAAT